CACCACTCCTGATCAGGTCAGTCTATAAGCTCCAAATCTGTCAGTCCTGCCCATCTTCTATTTCTTAGCCCTCTTCTTCCGCTCGGCACGGCAATAAACTACCTCTCCTCTTCATGCTTCCCAGATCTAAATCCACCTCTTTCCCCTTCCCCACAAGTCTACTTCACCCCATTCACCCTGACCCACAACATCTGATTTCCTAACTTCTCCCCTACTTTCCTGCCACTCTACGCCTCGCACTCAACTCTTATACCTCCGTCACCCCCGCCCTCCTGGGCCCCCTCACCACTTTGTATCGATCCTCCTCGCGCACCCCGAGTCTCGAGCAGTTGCTTAATAGGAGCCAACGTCTCTCATTGGCTCCCAGAAATAGGGGGAAGAATGGTGGAAAATGCGAGAAAAAGATGGGGAGAGCGACGAAGGATTTCACAGACAGGAGCCCAGAGTGGAGAATTCAGAAGAGGAGGGAAGGGAAGGAGGGGGGGAAGTGCGGAGGAGGAGAATAGGCGCTGCACCCGCCCGCCGCGGGGCATACTGGGAATGGGAGTCTTGTTCTGCTTCCTCCGGAGCCGGCTGACGCGCGTCTGACTACAACTCCCGAAAGGCACCAAAGGGAAGCCGAGAGGCGAGAAGTTGGGTTTTAATTGTGAGCGCCGGAGACACCAGAAGCTGGGCTAGTAAGTTCCGCGATGCTTTCCACCCAATCCGCCAAATGGCACTTCTAACCCGCTTGGGCGTGAGAGTAGAAGTGCCCCGAAGGCTTCCTGGCGGAGGCGCGCGGAAGCGGCTGGGGATTGAGGCGTTTGGCCTTAGAGGCCACAAACTGGGTTCCTTGAGCTCGGTTGCTTCCCGTAAAACTGGGATAATGCACACTCCAGAGCGTCATCGGTAGTTAACGATTAACACGGTCCAGTGCGCCTTACTTGGCACGTAAGCACTCAAATTTTAATTTCTGCAATCACCATGCTTCCAACCTGTTTAGTTAGAAGATCCTAATAAATACAGTTTTTAAAAGAAACCAATTATTCTGATTTGATTTATGAACCTTCTGCAGGAAAAGGCAAGGGAAGGTCTTCAGCCAAGGCCAGAGCTATACGTTTCCCCAAATTCCTATAAGCAAATTCTGTTATTCCCACTTTACAGACTTGAAGCTCAGAGAGATTTAAAAAGTTGCCTACAATCAGACAGTGAGAAAGTGTTCAAGCTGTGATTTGAAGTTTGCAAAAGACCAGAGACCAAAGTGGAAAGGACTGTGTAAGTATGTTATGCTTTTGTAGATACCCATGTTTGTTCTGTTCCCTGTTTCTTTAGCAGTCAATGTTTAAAATCCTCAAAGAACAACACAAAACTGACAGAGCTGCTTTATGGCAAACGTTAAGTAAGGTTAAAAGACAAATTACAGTTTGGGAAGAAATGGTTAATGAAATAGACAAGTAATAGGAAAGCTCTTACAAAGCAATAAGAAAAGGAAACAATAGATATATTGGCAAAAGAAGGAACAGGCGATAAACTTAAGAAATACAAATGCCTTTTAAAGAGACGAAAGACTGTCAACCTCATTAGCAATTAAGGAAGAGTAAGCTAAAAAAACATATTTTAAAATATCAGAAATTAAAGAAACAATAAAAGATTAGCAAAAAAGAAAAAAGAAATTAGTTGACAGCCTCAGTGTCGGCCAGGATATAGGAGCATAATCATACACTTGTTGAAGTTTGATACAGGCACGCCTTTGAAAGGTCAATTTGGCAGTATCTATCAACACTTTTAATATGACTGCCCTTTGACCTAGCAACTCCATCTTTAGGAATATGTCATGCTGAAATTCTCCCACTTGGGTACAGAGATATACCTGCAAAGATTTTTATTGATGTGTGTTTGTTGTTGTTCTCTGAAAACAATGGAAACAGCCCAAATGTCCATCATTGAAGGTAGGTTAGATAAAATGTAAGTCATTGCAACAATGTAGAATATTGGGCAACCCTTAGAGAAGAGGTCATTCTGTGCATTCTGGCCTGGAACCATGTACGACCCATCATTAGGGGGAGAAAAACAAATTACAAAACAGCATACACAGCCCAATGCCATCTTTGTAAGAAGCTTTTATGTATGTGTGAAACTGAAAAAGGCCATATGCTTCATTCTGAAGGGAGCAGGCAAGGGGGAGCTGGCCGGACCGTGTCATGGTTCCCTGCATGCTAAGACTGCACCATTCAGTTTGGTAGCCTCCAGCTACCTGTGGCTATTTAAATTTAAATTAACTAAAATAAAATTTAAAATTCAGTTCCTAGTTGGACTAGCCCTATTTCAAGCGCTCAGTAGCCATAAGTTTCTAGTGGCTACCTATTGGACAGTGTAGATATAGACCATCTTGGTCATCATGGAGAGCCTTGCTGTTGGAGAGCCCTGCTCTGAGGGATGCAGTGGGTGAGGGCAGGATGTCTGGTGGCAGGAACTGAGCCAGGCTGAGTTCTGGCCTTAAGGAAGAAAATCAGCCTAATGAACCAGCTGAGCCTAAGAAGGGGTCCTAGGAGCTGAAATTGTGGAAAGAGCTCCTTTCCACAGTCCTGTCAAGCACAGTTTTCTCTAGCCTGTGTTTGAGAATTCCTGTACTGGATAGATCCCCACCTCCTCTCCTCTGGTAGCATCCTGGAAAGAACAGATAGGAAGGAGCCAATAGGCCCACTTCCCACCAACTTCACTGTTTACTGGCTGTGCTACCTTGGGCAAGTCGCCTAACCTAACAGAGACATTTTCTTCTCTGGGATATGGCAATAATTTTTACTACTACATATATTATTGTATTAAATAAGATATAATATGTAATAAAATATAATACCTGGCATATAGTGGGTATTCAGTAAAATATTACCATTTTTCTATAACTTTTACTTACAAATTCTAGTTCTATAACTACACAGAATCTCTTATGTTAGCCCTTCAGATATTTGACACAGTTCTTTCAACCAATTTTATTGAGCCCCATGTTCCAGAATTTACCCTTGTGTAGCTTGTGGTCTAGTGGGAGAGGCAGGTATAAAAAAAATACATGCAAAGATATATGTAAAATCGCACCTGTAGGAAGTGCTACAGAGAAGAGATTAGTGTGCTCTGAGAGCATCAGTAGGGAATTTCAGCTGGTTGGGGAAGTCAGGGAAGACTGCTGAAGGGCATGCAGGAGTTAATAAGCTAATGACTATAGGGAACATTTGGGGGGGGGCAGTATGCTACAAGGGCCATGTGGCAGGAAAAACAGTGGCCCACTGGCGGAAGCTGAAAGAAGGCCAGGGGTGCGTAGAGGGGAGGGAGAGGGTGAGGGGGGATGCTGGAGAGGCATGTGGGGGCCGACCTTCGCCAGGAAGATTTTATTCTTTAAGACCAATGAGAAGCCACTAAGGGTTTGAAATAAAGAAGTGAGGTCAGATTTATATGTTTTAAAGATCACTCTGGTTGCAGGGGTGCAAACACACCAGACAGGAGCAGGAACAGATCCAGGGTGACAAATTAGGAGACTACTGTAGTGGTTCAAGCAAGGTGGAGGCACTGTGTGCCAGGAGGGTGATGGAGACTGAGAGATGATGAGTTCCTGGGAGATTTGGGAGGCAAAATCAGCAGAGCTTTTCTGCTGGACTGGACTTGGCAGCCGAGGTTATGGATGTCACTTTGTGCAGCTGACTGGATGCTGCTGTCACTCGCTGAGTCAGGGAACCATGGATGCAGGAAGAGCAGGTTTGGACATGCAGAAGCTGAAGTTCAAATGAGCTTCAAGTGGTTATATAGGCCTTGCGCTTAGAGAGTTCTGGGCTCTGATTCAGGAGTCGTCAGCTCACTGCTGTAGCTTCCATTGCTCATTATTCTGGGTTCTGACCTCTAAACTCTAACCTGTCAGTGCCCATCTTAAATCATGGTGCAAAGTAGTCTGTTAGATCTATGACCTGGGCCCCGAGGGCCTATTAGTTCAACCTCAGATTAAATTATCTTTATCGTTATCCTCATTATTCCAGTTGGCTTATTTTGTGAATATCATCAACCAAAACCCCAGAGTCTTTATTTCACATGAACTGCCATCTAAACAGGTCTGCCTTGTTCAATACTTGCAACTGATTTTTTTTTTCTTTCTAACCAAATTTGAGCTCTGTTAAATGCTCTCTTGGTGATTGTGGCTCATCCTTCCAAGCCTCTGAGATTATTTAGGCCCTTGGTTCTGGCTCCCATCCAAACAGTTCACACCCACTGGGTTATTTGCACACTTGGATCAGCCTAATCCAGGGATTCTCCACCTGGGACTCCCAGACCCTCAGGGGAGTCCTAGAATTTGGGCAAGAAAAAGAAATTACACCTTTATTTTTACTAACATCTAACTGAAATTAGCATTTTCTTCAGTTATGAATCTAGGCAAAATCCCCAGTGGTATTAGCAGTACCTGTAGGTTGTCACTAATAGACACCACAGCTATTTTTATATCGCACTACAGTTGTTGTGGAAATCTCAAATTATCATTTATGCTCACTGCTGTTTGGAAAATGTCAGTAGTTATTGCACCTGCCACTAGAACTTGTTATTAAATATATTAAAAAGAAACACGTTACTGTAATTTTTTAACATTTTGGCAAGCTGTTTCCCTTGGTTTCTTTTGTAGTCCTATGTACTTTATGGGTTTTAAAACATAGTTCTGAGGAGGAATCAGTAGACCTCTCCAGACTGCCAAAGAGGTCCATGGCACAAAAAAGGTTGAGAACCCCTGGCCTGATGGAACTCCCTCCAGGCCAACTGCAGAGCATCCCTCTGAGTTGACAACGTTTATACGTTCATACATTCATGCATTCTCCTGAGGTCCCACAGGCAAAGGCCTGAATGTAGAAAAAGAACACTCTGCTGGGCAAAATAGGTGGTGGGAAATGGAATGGGGAGAGGGAGGGAAAAGAGGAGAAGGAAGAAAGGAAATGGGCTGGGAGGGAGGGCAGGAAGCATTTTACCAAAACTTCAAGAAACCCACTCACAACTGTGGAAAACTCAACCTTTATTATTACCTGCCTAGTGCAGGGGATTAAAATTGCCTCAAGCTAGGTCCATATATTAGTGTAAAAATCTGTGTCTCTCCCCCCAAAAATGTACAAACCCCAAGTGATTATAGAAAAACCAATGTGGCAGCTACGACAGAGATGTCCAATCCCAAGGCCATGGGCCGTTGCTCCCTCTTTCCCCCTAATCCCAATATTTACTCCACAGAAACATACAGGCTTAGAGAAGTTCTAGCTACAACATGGTAGGTGGGAAGTGGTGATGGCTGAGGGTTGGGGCAGAGGCCACCTCCCAGGTCCAGTGTTTCAGGTGGTGGAGGAGGAAGAAGCCAAAGCTGAGGACAATTCCAGAAATAGGCACAAGGGAACATCTTTCTCCCTTTCTTGCCTTCCTCACCTCCACAGATTCTCAGCCAGTGGGGTCCAGTGTGTGACAGGAAGAGAGAGAGGCTGGGGGCACAGCCACCTCTCCAGGAACCAGTGTTGTCCAGTGGGGCCCAGGTGCTCCAACGGGCCATGTCCAGTGTCTGCCCTGTATTTGCTCCCACCTTTCCCAAAGGGTGGCTAGAGGAGGTCAGAGAGGATCCCATCCACAGGACCAGCTGGGTGGGTGGCGGGGGCTTCTAGGGAGGAAATGGAAGGAGGAACAGGAAGGTACATAAAGCTTGTTCACGGAAAGGGGCATCAGCTCCTTGGTGGGCCCAGCCCACCTGCGCTCCCACTGCCTCTCTCAGAGGTGTTGGGTAGTTGGGAGGGGTTGGGGGTGGGGGTGTTGTTGGCTCCTCTTGTTTTAGTGTCTCTGGCTTCCCCTGCATCGCTCCCTGAGGGAGGGGGCATCTGGATGTTGTGATTCACACTGTGTTGAGCGCATCCTCTGCCAGGAACCGATGCAGCTGGGAAAACGGAGGTCGCTGCTCAGGCTCCCGGCTCCAGCACCGAAGCATCAGCTCATACAGGCCCTGCGGGCAGGCAGGTGGCCGGGACAGGTACACCTGCATTGTGGCAGTATGGATGAGAGGCAGGGAGCAGACGGTCTTTAGTCTGCAAGATGATGAGCTCTGCACCTCCTGCTCCTCCCCCACCCCCACCCTCACCCCAACTTTGGACCCATCTTCCCTCCCCTCCACTCTGACCTGCCGGCCCTGGTCCCTGAAGAACTCCCCTGCGTTCTCGATGACCTGCTCATCAGTGAGCTGCCCAAAGGGCTGGGCCCTGCAGAGCATCAGCACCTCCCACAGGGTAACCCCGAAGGCCCACACATCACTTGCTGTCGTGAACTTCCCCTGGCACATGGAAGAGGAACAAAGGTAGAAAAAGGCATCAGGCAACGTAGACCGTCCCCACTCCTGTGGGGCGGCTGCACTCATGGCCACTCAACCCACACCCCAGCCAGACTCCCTCCCAGCTCAGGCTCTCCAGCCTCCTTAGCCAGCCAGCCCACCTTTCCTAACAAGCCTGCTCCTCCCTCCCAGGGGCTCTGCCTTCGTTCTCCATTCTTTGGTCCTCTCTCCTGGACCCTGGCCTACCTGTTCCTTCTACTTACTCATCCTTCTCCGCCCACCCCCCATTTTCTGGTCCTGACCTTCTGTCTCCCACCCAACCCCTTTTATCTCCAGCTTCCTCCCTCCCCTTACCTCTCCTGCTCTCTGCCACCTGACTCCATCCCCCATACCCACTCTTGGCTCCTGGATCCCTTTCCCATCACACCACAGCTCCCTGTTCTCTCCAGTTCCTTGAGCCAAATGGAATCTCATTTTGTAGGTGGGAAAACTACACCCAGAGAGAATGAGTGACTGAGACCACAGAGCTGTGAGTGGCAGCCAGCGTTCTCCTCCACCTGCCCAGCCTCTGCCACCTCTCTTGGGGCTGCTCACCATGAGGATGCACTCCCACGCCATCCACCGGATGGGCAGCACCGCCCGGCCCTGCACGCGGTAATAGTCCCCAGCGTAGAGGTTCCGGCTCATGCCAAAGTCGGCGATTTTGATGGTGAAATTTTCCCCAACCAGGCAGTTCCGCGTGGCCAGGTCCCGATGCACAAAGTTAAGTGTGGCCAGATAGCGCATGCCCGAAGCGATCTGGGCTGCCACATGTAACAACATCTGGTAGCTGAGTAAGGGAGCCAAGGGCAGAGAGTCATTGGGGGGCAGCCCCAGCTGCCTCTCTGCTTCACAGATTCCCATCCAGGAGAAGAAGGGGAGCCCACTCCCCCGGAACAGGTCGCTGCTGCTCCCAGTGCAGAGGTAGAATGCCCATGTGGAGGCCAGGGGTAGGTTCCCACTCAACTTCTCTGGTCATCCAAACCCAGGGAGCTCTTCTTTTATTATGCCCCCCAGTCTGGCCTCAGGCGGAGTGAGGGTGAGAGAGGGCAGAAGGGAATTCATGGCAGGGTCCAAGTCCCTTCATCACCCTCACTAGGGTAGTCTTCAGCCTTTCTGTCCAAATTCCTGGATTAGTGTGGTCATATGTGCCTCATCCCAGGCCCCCTCCTGGAACCTCTACTTGACTCCCCACCCCTTGCTCCCCTCTTTCCTTCCAGGCTGGAATAAGGGGAGAGGAGACCCTCCTAGGGGAGCTTTCAGGGAAGGCCCAACCTGGGTGAGTACCTGATGGTGGGTCCCTGGACAGCCTCCCCATCTCTAGGGGCCCCTTCAGCCGCCTTGTCCTCCAGCTGGTGGGCACTGAGGAACTGGTTGAGGTCGCCGTTCTCCATGTAATCAGTAATCATGCAGAGGGGGTCGTCCTGCACACACACGCCCAGGAGCCGAATGATGTTTGGATCCTTGAGCCTCGACATGATTTTCACTTCCTTCAGGAAATCATTCCTGGACAAGCAGGGAAAAGCTGGCAGAGCGCCGAGGGGCAGCCTGCACCCTCCCTCCTGCTCACGTGGGCCAGGCGGCCCCACCCCCAGCGCACAGACACCAGCCCTCTGTCAGTCTCTGCCATGGTTCTCTGGGCTGCTCCCCATCCTCCATGGCCTCCCTCTCTTCCTCCTATGCTGACCCTGGTCCTCACCTGGCATTCTTGGTGGCATCTGGCCGTAGGATCTTGACAGCTACCAGCAAGGGGTGTCCCTTGCGAACATTAAGGGGAAAATCAAGACTGACTAGATCTTGAGGGCTCTCCACCTCACAGAGGTGCACCTGAGGAAAGAAGGTCATTTGCTAGGAGGTCAGAGGGTCAACTGGGACAACACAGTCCCAGACAATTAAGGTTCCTGGCCAAGGGGGATGTGCAGGCATGGCATTAGAGCTCTGCTCAGGTCAGATATTTGATGGCTGGGCAGGCAACCTCCTTACCTCCCCAAACTGGCCCTCGCCAAGCTTCTCCTTGAAGCGGAGCCGTGACCGAGGGAAATCCACTCTGGGGGGTCCATCCCCAGCCACCCCTGGGGGCAGCGCAGGCACAGCATAGGTGTTGCCCCCGGTGACACCCTGCAGGGTGACAATGTCAGCCTCGGCATAATGGGGGACGCTGTTCTGGGGAGGTGGGGGCAACAGTGGGGCACCTGGCTTCTCAGGCTCCATGTAGTCCCCACTGCAGGCTGGAAGGGTGAGGGGAAAGAAGACGAGACGAGGCATCAGGAACAGCCCCCAAGAGTCGTGGGTCTCCACCCCAGCCTCCCAGATGCCTCCATGTCTCCCAGTTGGATGAGAGACTGGGTCTATCTGTATCTTCCCTGATACTCCACCCACCAAGCTCAAACCAGAGAAGACACTGGCCTGGGGTGAGAGTTAGCTGTTTCAGAGAAAGTTTTCAAGGCAGTAGAAATGGCTGAGCAAAATCTGTCATAAAGTCTTACTCTAGGGGTCTCCCAGCATAGCCCAGACCAGGAGATACATCTTAGCTGCAAGAGAAATTCCTCTACCCGCTATCAATGGAAGAAGGATGGTCGCAGCCATCCAGTCACCCTCCACTTTCCAAACCCTTGTCCTGCTCACTGCCAGCTCCCTCTCCTTCACTTAGCTGTTCTCCCCCTGCTGCCACTGTTACCCAAACCTTCCCAACCCAACATACCAAGCTGAAAGACAAGCAGAGACAGGGGCACACAGAGGGGGAGAGGGTAACAGGTTCTCATGGCCCCCACAACAGGTTGTCTACAGACAGGAGAGGAAGCAGAGCTGTCTCCTCTTAGCCCTGGGGAAGGGGCCACAATGAGAAGGCACACGAAGGAGAGGAGGAGCAGACAGAAAGGGTGGGGGCGTGAGCCTTCACCTCTGGGACTGCAGAGAGAGGACACATGGGGAGAGGGCAAGCGCCCAGGGGGGAGGCCCTCCTCCTCGAAGCTCTAGAGAGAGGGGAGAACAAAGGAGGAGTTACAGGAGAGCCTGGGGCCACCACAGCAACCTCCTCTCTAGCTCTGGAGAGCTGAAGAGATGGGATGGAAGAGGAGGAGGGGGAGAGAGCTGAGAACCAGTAAGCTTTCTACTCCTCAGTTCAAGGGGGAGGCTTATGGAGTAAGAAGCAGCAGAGGTGAGCTAGGGGCACAAGAGCTTCTTCCTTAGGAGCTCAGGAGAGCACAAGAGGCCACAGTGAGGAGGAGGGAGTGCAAGGTGTGAGGGCTTTTCCCTGCCCCAGTAGAGGTATGGGGAGCCTGGCGGAGCCCAGGGCAGAGGGGCTTACCCTGGGTGTTGGTGGGTTTGGCCCAGGCGGGTGTGAGGGGGCCCGGGCCTCGAGGGGGACGGGCGTAAGTGGCCAGAAGGAGGCGGTAGGCTGGATTGGAGAGCAGCAACGCTGTCGGGAGAAGGAGAGGGGGAGACACGGGGAAGGGATGAGACTCAGGCTAGACAGACAGGGAGACCTGGAGTAGGGCAAGACCAGGGCTTGATGGGAATTAATGTACTGAGACAGAGATGGGATAAAACAAGGACACAGAGAGTGATGAATAGCTGGATGGGTAATGAATGCACAGATAGGTGAATGATGGATGGGTGAATAGATGATGGGTGGATGATAAACAGATGGTTGGATGGATCGATGGATGATGGGTGGGAGGATGGGTGGGTGGATGGATATTGATAAATGAATGGGTGATGGATGGATGAATGTATATATGAATAAAGATGGATGGATGGGGCCGGCCCGGTGGCGCACTGGAGAGTGCGCCGCTTGGGAGTGTGGTGGCACTCCCGCTGAGGGTTCGGATCCCATGTGGAGACCGGTTCCCGCTCACTGGCTGAGCATGGTGCGGGTGCAACACCGAGGGTTGCGATCCCGTTGCCGGTCAGTAAAAAAGACAAAAAGGAAAAAAAAAATGGATGGATGGATGGATGGATGGAAGGAAGGAAGAAACAAACATGGTAAGTCTAGAAGAAAGAAGAGGGGCCAGGGAGTCACATGAAAGGATACAACAAAGAGAGACCCATACATGTGCGACACAGAGACAGGATGAGACTACTGGATGGATGGATGGATGGATGGAAGGAAGAAACAAACATGGTAAGTCTAGAAGAAAGAAGAGGGGCCAGGGAGTCACAATGAAAGGATACAACAAAGAGAGACCCATACATGTGCGACACAGAGACAGGATGAGACTACTGGACATTATGGCTAATACATGGGAAATTCTTGAGGGAGATTATTGGTAGGGACGTGGAGTGATATAGAGGGTGACCAGGGACACAGAAATAAGAAAATGAGTTGAAACTGGGAAAGACAGGAAGAGAAGAGAATAAGAAAGGAGAAGGAAAGGGCAATTAAGAAAACAGGCAGAGAGGACAGAAATGGGACTGGAACAAGGCAGGTCTTACCAGAGCCATTGGGGACACAGGGAGCAGAGTGGGGCGGATTCCCACGAGACCGGGGCTCCTGGTAAGGGGGTGGCTCTCGAGGACCCGGGCGGTTGTTGATGAGGATGGTGTCGAAGGAAAGGGCAATTAAGAAAACAGGCAGAGAAGACAGAAATGGGACTGGAACAAGGCAGGTCTTACCAGAGCCATTGGGGACACAGGGAGCAGAGTGGGGCGGATTCCCACGAGGCCGGGGCTCCTGGTAAGGGGGTGGCTCTCGAGGACCCGGGCGGTTGTTGATGAGGATGGTGTCCCCAGGGACAGAGAGGTGAACCGTAAGCTCCTCTTCTAATACTCGTCGCTCGGCCTTGTTATGGGGAATGGGAAATGTTAACCACGGCCGCTGCTTAACACGCACTTGCTGGCACTTTGTTGAGGACCATACTTATGTTCTGTCCTTTCGTCCTCACAACAGTCCTGTAGTTGTAGCTACTAAAGCTCCATTCACAGGTGAAGAAACTGAAGCTCAAGAGCATTAATGTAACTTCCTGTATGTCCCCCAGTGGGATTCCAACTCACATCTGGCCAGCCCATAATTAGCAAGCTTGATGCGTGTCACCACCACTGGACCCTTGCTGGAAGACGTGGGCTGGGCTGTGCCAGGCATCTTCCATTTGTCCCTGAGGCTGCACTCTCAATCCTTTCCACCCTGCTTCTACCCCAAGAAGCTGGCAGTGGGGACTGCATCAACAGGCATGGCTTAGGGTAGCCAGAGAGGAGCCCCAGCAGGAGTTATCGGGGAGGTCAGGAAGCGAGATCAGGTGTTTACTCTCCCAGCCCCTCCCTGAGGGGTTGGCCCTGGCCAGCTGCTGCTCTCAAGGTGCCCTGTCCACAGACTCACCCCTCCCAGGTTCTGGTAACTGCAACCTCCCTTTGCCTGGCAGGCCCAGGGATGGGGAACTGCCTGCTCCCTGTGAGTCCCATACACCCTGCCCACATTTGTGTAAAGGGTCTCTTTACAAAGCTCTCCTCTGATTATACTCTTTAGACCAAGCCTGCCATCCTTGCTAGAACCTGACTTATTGAGGGATCTGGACACATACTGGTCTTGGCCCGGCCTCCCTCTCCACACGCACAACCCACCAGCTCTGCCAACCTTGCTTAGGAGCCTGCGCCAGTGCAGCCGCCAGAGCATGAGGGCGATGATGAGCAGCAGCAGCAGGATGATGGCTACCAGGCAGCCAATGAGGATGGCGGTTGGGCTCCCCTCAGCCTTGGCCACAGGCTGCTGGCCCCTGGGCTCCAACTCTGGCAGAGGCAGAAGGGTCAGCACCACAGGAGGCTTCCCACCCAACCTGAGGGGAGGCCTGGGGAGGAACGGTGCACAGGGTCCCATGCCCGGAGGAGGCCCAGGGCTGCTCACCCAAGCTGCTAAAGTTGGTGGGAGGCGGGCCAGGTGGCCACCAGGGGGCTGGCGGGAAGGTGCCCCCCAGAGCTGGAGAGGAGTCATTGATCACATCTGGGGAGATGGAAGACAAGAGGGAGTCGGAGGAGTAGGAGACCCAAGGGAGGCAGCGTGCATGAGACCTGGGGAAGGGAGCTGTTGGGTAAAGGAGCAGAACAGGCAGAGGGGTGGTAGGGTGAGGTCTGGAAGTCCCTCGCTATGGTGGACGTTAACCCTTTAGCTGCTGGATTGTCAGGAAGTGGAGGGCTCCTGGGGCAGCCCAGGGTGAGGGTTCTGGGTATCAGGAGACTTAGAGAACAGGCTATTCTCAACTCATACAGAAGTAGTTCAGTGTTTTAACAATCAGTACTGTCATGCTGGCTCACTGTCAGTCATGGTGAGGGGCTCATGAAAGAAAGACAGCTATGCAGGAAATAGGAGGGGGAAAGGGACTCCAATTATTTTGGGCACCCCTGCTTAGGAAGTGTCCTAGGTAGTGGGTATGATGCCAGGAATGGATATTTTGGGGGCATTGCAGGCTTATGAATGAAATTAGTTGGCAATCCCAGGAGTTGGGGATTGGATGTACTCCAGGAGCTTACCAGAGATGAAGGAGATTTCGCTGAAGAGTAACCAAGGCCCCGCAAAGAGGAAGCGGCACTGCAGAAAGCGCCCCACGCGGCCACCCAGGGGCATTGAGACAGCCCGGGCTCTGGGGTCACCCAGGCTGCCCCCCAGGGCATGGCGCACAGGCTCCCCCTCCCAGGCCATGGCAGGGCCACGTTTGAAGCGACATTCCACCCCACCAGGCAGGCGGGCTCCCAGCGTGTGCATGTTGTTACAGTGGACCTAGGGGGAAGGGAGGAGGGTCACAGGGTTAATGCTAGGAGAGCCCAAGGGGCACCCCAGCAGCAACCACCTGGCTTCAGAGCCCTCCCTGAGAACCAGGCTCACTCACCTGCATGGCCTGGAAAGCCCTCAGCCGGTCAAACTCAAACTCCATCTCCACATAGCCGCTGGGAAAGCTGTGGTTGCTCCATCCCACATAGTCATAGCCTGGCCAGACCCGCAGCTCCTGGCTCTTCCTAAAGTCATCCAGCCCTACCACGCCATCTGCCAGCTGGCCCAGACCACCATACTGCAGCCTGGAGAGGAGGGGACCAAGAGGAGGTTGGAAGGGAAGACGGTGTTGACCATTCAGGTGCTCTACGCCCTACTCTGCAGTGTCCTGGCCTGCCTGGCTCCCATCCACAGGTCCCATTCCCACACCATCCCACCCCAACCTCACACAGCTCTCTGTTCTCTTCTCCCCACATCCCCAGGGCTATCACAGGTACTTTGCAGGTCACACACATACTGCACAAAGGCACCACCTCTAAGGGGTGCCATTCAATCTATGATGTGTGTATTTGTCTGTGTATTTATCATGGTAATTTCCAAAAGATGTGTCTTAGCAAAGGGTGGCTTTTTCTAAAACACTAAGTGTCATATGGGCTAGTGATTGCCCTGCTACCCTTCATTCCTGGTCCTGTCCCTTGAGGCCCCACCTAACCAAACCCTTTCCCCAGTCCTTCCATCTCACTGCTCAGACTACTTACTGCCCCCACATGTTGTCCTCCCTCCCATCCCAGACTCTACGCCCTGAAGGGCCCGTGCCTCTCACCCGCCAACAGTATGTCCATCGTAGGTGGAGTCATTGAGGTGCACGGCCTCAGATAAGTACATGGTCTGCCCCACAGGGGCTGTGTAAGACAGGAGGCCATCTGGGCAGGGTGGGAGGAGGGGTGTTAGAGGCATGCCACCTCCATCACCCAGCCCTGCATCAGGCCTGGACGGGTCTCAGGCCCCTTTCTCATATCCCTCCACTGGCCTGTTGGTATGGAGGAGGTGATGTTGGCCAGTCTTCTCCTCGTTCAGAGTGGGAGCTTCCCAAGAGGAGAAAAAGGATCCTGGATGCCCTGCGCCACATCCCCCACCCCCCAGTCCCCAGGACAGGAAATAGACTCTCAGGGGCTGACCTACTCACCCCTCCAGAGGCAGCCATAGAGCTCCACCCGCAGACAGACGCTCATGACCCGGTCAGCCCGGGGATAGAAGCGAACCAGCCGGGCCACCATAGGCGGACCAAGGTCCTTCAGCACCACTCCCTCAGGGTCCTCATTACCTGAGATCACCTGTGGGCCAGGAAAATGAGGGTGGATGGCTGGAAAGGGCTCCAGGTCACACTTAACTTCCCAACTACCAGCTGCTTCCTGGCTCAGCCCACAGTGGCCATTCAGGGACCTCTGAAGAGTGGTGCCCAGCACACAGCTCTGTGGGGCACAGCCAGGCATTTATGAAAAGAGGGTCTGACACCTCTCTCGGACCCAATGGTCCGTGCTCAAATTCCTCTCCCCTTGCCTGGCTCCACACATTTGTCTCCAAGCCGCTCATTGCATTGCACCCAGTTTCTACCCTGTCCCTCACAGTACTGCATCCCTGTCTGTTTCCCCTCTTGTTTCACCCCATCCCTTCTGTTCATTCAGCAGAACTTGACTCAGCGCCCACTATGTGCCAGGCATGTTCTCACTGGTGAACATCAGTCCCTCCCCTCACAGGACTGAGATTCCAGCAGGAGAAGCAGCTGTGAAGAACAAGAGGCAGGGTGACAGAGCAGTGGGGCGGGGGTGGGGGAGATCGGAAAAGGCTCTCTGAAGATGTGACATCTTGGGGAGAACTGAATGGAGAGCCTGTGGACATCTGGGGGGGGAGCTTTCTAGACACAGAGAACAGAAAGTGAAAATGTCTGAAGCTGTGGAAATAAGCCCTGACTTGTTCCAGGAACCGCAAGAAAAGCAGTGTAGTCAAGGTGGGGCAAGAAGCAAGAGATGTAGGCAACAGCCAGGACAGGCTAAGCAATCTGCACTCACCTAAGGAGCCGAGCTTTTGTTCTGGGAGAGTGGAAAGCCACTGGAGGGGTGAGAGCTGGGTGTGACATATCTGATTTACATTTTCTAAGATATACTGTATGTAGCTCCTGGGTGGAGATTTGACTTCAGGCAGAAGCAGGGAGAACAGTATGGAGACCACTGCATTCATCTAAGCTGGAGATGGTATGTACTTGACCTAAGCAGTGGAGGTGGAGTGGTGAGAAGTGATTGGATTCAGGAAATGCCAATGAAGTAGAACAGACTGGCCCTGCTGATTCTTTGGAAGAAGGTGAGAGAAAAAGAGGAATCAGGGATATCATCTTAGTTTATGGCCTGGGCAACTGGAAAATGTGGTACCATTTCCTGAGCTGGAGAATTCTGAGGGAGGAGCAGGTTTGGAGTGGGCGTGGAAATCGAGTTCAGCTTGGGAGGTTAATGGCAAGCTTGAGATGCCCATTAGACATCTAGGTGGAGAGGTCCAGAAGGTGGTCAGGTTTGCAATATTGGATGGAACTCAGCAGGGAGGCTTGGTCTGGAGATGATATTCACTGGAGAGTCATCAGTGTATAGGAGGTGTTTAAAGTGTAGGAGGAAGCACTCACTTTGGCAGCACATATACTAAAATTTGAATGATGCAGAGAAGATTAGCATGGCCCCTATGTAAGAATGACATGCAAATTCGTGAAGTGTCCCATATTTTTTAATACACCATGATTAAATGGGATTTATCCCAGGGATGCAAGGATGGCTCAACATACACAAATCAATAAATGTGAAACATCACATCAACAGAATGAAGGACAAAAACCATATGATCATCTCAATAGATGCAGAAAAAGCATTTAATAAAATTCAACATCCCTTCATGATAAAAAACTCTCAACAAATTAGGTATAGAAGAAAACAATAACACAATAAAGGCCATAAATGACAAACCCACAGCTAATAACACACTGTACAGAGAAAAGTTGAAAGTTTTTCCTCTACAAATAGGAACAAGACAAGGATGCCCATATGCTCACCACTTTTATTTAACATAGTACTGGAAGTTCTAACCAGAGCAATCAGGCAAAAGAAAAACACAAAATGCATCCAAATTGGAAAAGATGAAGTTAAACTGTCCCTATTTATACTCAACATGATCTTATATATAGAAAAACCTAAAGATTCCACCAGAAGACTCCTAGACCTCATAAACAAATTCAGCAAAGTTGCAGGATAAAAAATCAATATGCAAAAATCAGTAGCATTTCTATATACCAACAAACTAGCAGAAAAGAAATCAAGAAAGCAATCCCATTTACAATAGCTACCAAAAAAATAAAATGCCTAGGATTAAAGTTTTTGGGTTTTGTTTGTTTGTTTTCCAGTGGCTGGCTGGTGAGGGGATCCAAACCTTTGACCTTGGTATTATAACACCCACTCTAACCAACTGAAATAACCTAACCAGTCAGCCCCTAGGAATTAATTTAACCAAGGAGGTGAAAGATCTCTACAATGAAAACCACAAAATACTGATGAAAGAAATTAAAGAGGACACAAAAAAGTGGACAGACATTCCATGTTCATGGATTGGAAGAATTAATATTTTCAAAATGACCATACTATCCAAAGCAATCTACAGATTCAATGCAATCCCAATCAAAATACCAATGATATTCTTCATAGAAATAGAAAAAAAATCCTAAAATTTATAAGGAGCCACAAAAGGTTCCAAACAGTCATAGGTGTCCTGAGCAAAAAGAACAAAGCTGGAGGCATTATACTACCTGACTTCAAAATATACTACAAAGCTATCGTAATCAAAAGAGCATGGTACTGGCACATGGACCAATGGAAGAGAATAGAGAACCAAGAAATAAATCTATGCATCTACAGCCAATTGATTTTTGACAAAGGTACCAAGAATATACATTGGGGAAAGGACAGCCTTTTCAATAAAGGATGATGCGAAAACGGGGTATCCATATGTAGAAGAAAGAAACTAGACCCCTATCTCTCACCGTATACAAAAATCAACTAAAAATGCATTAAAGACTTAAGTGTAAGACCCGAAACTATGATACTACTAGAAGAAAACATAGGGGAAACACTCCAAGACATTATGGCAAAGACTTCTAACATAGGCAACCAAAGCAAAAATAGACATATGGAAGTCAACAAACTAAAAAGCTTCTGCACAGCAAAAGAAACAACCATCAGAATGGGAAAAAATGTTTGCAAACTATTCATCCAACAAGGGATTAATATCCTAAATATACAAAGAACTTAAACAATGCAACAGCAAAAAAAAAAAAAATCTGATTAAGAAATGGACAAATGACCTGAATAAACATTTCTCAAAGGAAGACATACAGATGGCCAACAGGTATATGAAAAAATGCTCAACATCACTAATCATTAGGGAAATGCAAATCAAAACCACAACGAGATATCATCTTACCCCAGTAAGAATGACTATTATCAAAAAGACAAAAAATCACAAATGCTGGCGAGGATGTAGAGAAAAGGGAACTCTTATACACTGTTAGTGGGAATGTAAATTAGTACAGCCATTATGGAAAACAATATGGAGGTTCCTTAAAAAACTAAAAACAGGGGGCTGGCCCGTGGCTCACTTGGGAGAGTGTGGTGCTGATAACACCAAGGCCGCGGGTTCAGATCCCTATATAGGGATGGCCGGTTGGCTCACTTGGGAGAGTGTGGTGCTGACAACACCAGGTCAAGGGTTGGGATCCCCTTACCAGTCATCTTTTTAATTAAAAAAAAAAACAACTAAAAATAGGACTACCATATGATCCAGAAATCCCACTGCTGGATATTTATCCAAAGGAAAGAAAATTTACATACTGAAGAGATATCTGCACCCCATGTTTATTGCAGCATTATTCATAATACCCAAGACACAGAATTAACCTACGTGTCCATGGACAGATAAATGGATAAAGACATTGTGGTATACATACACTGTGGAATGCTACTCAGCCATGAGAAGGAATGAAATCCTGTCATTTATGGCAACAAGGATGAGCCTAGAAGACATTATGTTAAGCGAAATGTCGGGTGCAGAGAGATGAATACCAAATGTTCTCACTCATTGGTAACTAAAAAAAAATAATAATAATAGTAAGTTTAACTTTTACAATTAAATAGTAGAATTGTGGTTACTAGAAGCTGGGAAGGGGAGGGGGGGATAAGGAGAGGTTGGTTAATGCACACAGAATTACAACTAGATAGGAAAAAGTTCTAGTGGTGTACAGTACGCCTAGGCATCTATAATCAACAATTATTTATTGTATGTTCTCAAATGGCTATGAGAGAGGAGCTCAAATTTTTTATCATAAAGAAATTACAAAGTTTTGCAACAGTGAATATGCTAATTATCCTGACTTCATCATCACAAAATGTATACATTTATTGAAATATTACTCTGTACCCCATAAATATGTACAATCAATATGTGTCAATTAAAAAATAAATTCTTTTTTTTAAAAAAAAAAAGTGTAGCTGGAAGAGAGTGGAGAGCCAACCTCCCCAGGGCACTTCCTCTGCCAACCTCACCTCCTGACCCCAGCGGTCCTTCCAGTCCATCCAGTGCTGGCCATCCCGGGAGTAACGCAGCCGGTAGCTGCGGGAGAACTCCTTGCCCAGGCCCCCGGCATGCCGCCCTTGGGTGCCCACCAGAGCCACCAGGTGCAGCCGCTGTAGATCCACCTGCAGGTACTCTTCCTCCTTGGGAAACACGGACCCTGCGGGGCACCAGGCCCCATCCCCATCACTGCTCTCCAACCTGGGTGGGGGGAAGGAGGTCACAGGGAACATCACACAGCACTAGGTCACAGAGCCCTAGGTCTCCCTCTGTCTCTGATATTTAACCATCCCCATCCTGGACTGCAGGGGTTTCACTGGCATGGGCCCTCTCAAAAGACTCTTGGTTTGGCAGAGGGGTTGGAAGGGCAAGTAGAGGCCTCAGGAGCCCCCTGGGGCAGCCTTAGGTATGCAAAGTGTGTCAGGTACCTGCTGTGGTGGGCAGCAGTAGAGTCCGACCAGGAGCTGGAGGCAGAGATGTCACTGTCCGGGATGGTCCGGTCCTGCATGCCCAGGGCATAGCGGCACTTGGCTGGATGAACACAGGCATGTGATGGGTCAAGGCCCCTAGCTCTCTGCCCACCAAGCCCCATCCCTCAGGGACCCAAGATTCATTCTCCTCACCAGGGTCAAAATGGCCCTTCATGTCAGTATCTCCATTTGCCACCAAGAGCAGCAGCAGCAGCAGTAGAGATGAGAGGGCCCCTGGCCCCATAGCTCCTGATCACTCAGGCTTAAGGGGGTGGGGGCAGCATCTCTGCAGGGGACAAGGTGGGTAGTGGGGTAAGTTAATCAGGGGAATTGGGTCACAGCCAACATCAACAGACAAGAGAGAGAATGGGCTGCTTTGGGGATAAAAGCAATAAAATGACAACAGTAATTGTTTAACAGCATCAGCTATATTTTTAGAATGCTTCTCATGTGCCAGACACTGGGCTAAACCCTTAAACAGAATCCATAATTTTATCTCACAGTCACTTTATAAGGTGGATACTGTTACTATCCACATTTAACACATGAAGAAACTGGAGCAGAGATCAGTTAAGTAACTTGTCTAAAGTCCCAATCCCCTAATGTGTAAAGGGCAAAATACCTTATAAATAATGGCTTTGAACAAAAAACAAATCTGCAAAAAATGTTTATAACAAACTTAACAGAAAAATGGTTAATAATTATAATAAACTAAGAACTCTTACAAATTGACAAGAAAAATATATATAAACAACCCAACAGAGAAATGGCCAAAGAATTTCAATAGTTGTTTCACAGAAGAGCAAAGCCAAGTTGCCAACAAACACTTTTTTTTTAAATAGTCAAAATCACCAGAGTCAGGGAAATACAAATCAGACTGACAAAATGCTTTTAAGGCTATAACATCTGTAGGTGGTGGAGAGTGACAAAAAGGGAGCTCAACAGCAGAAGTGTAGTGCTATCACCTATTTGGAAAGCGATCTAACAATATCTGTTGTACTTGCAAATGCACATCTCCTTCAACCCAGCATTTCCCCTCCTGATGATCTAACCAAAGAGAGGTGGAAAAGCACCAGGAACGAAGAACAATGTGCAATCTAACAATATCTGTTGTACTTGCAAATGCACATCTCCTTCAACCCAGCATATCCCCTCCTGATGATCTAACCAAAGAGAGGTGGAAAAGCACCAGGAACGAAGAACAATGTGCCAAGATGTTTATGATGGCACCTTTGTAAGCACCCAAATCTGTAAGCCATGTGAATGCCCTTAGGGGACTGGCTGGAAAAAAAAAAATTAAGGCTCATGGACTACTATGTGGTTATGAAAAGTTAACAAAGTACCAATAAACCTCTGACTTGGTATGATTTCCTTGTGCAGCTGTTGAATATGGAAAGCAAGATACAGAAGTATAAAGAATTATCCACCTTTTGAAAACAAAGAATAAACCAACTACTGTGTTTGTATATATACAGTACTTGTACATATGTCTAAAGAGAGAGGATATGTAATAGAATAAAACACGAGTTAGCATGAATGAGGCAACAGAGGGAAAAGCAAACAAAAAGGGAAAAGACTGGCTGGTTCTATCATGTTTCCAAGACCTGTAACATATGGTAACATTTATACATTTACATAAAATCATGTGATGTATAAAATAATATAAAAATCATTTTGATTTTTAAAAAATAAAGGTGTCTGGTTCTATCATGTTTCCAAGACCTGTAACATATGGTAACATTTATACATTTACGTAAAATCATGTGATGTATAAAATAATATAAAAATCATTTTGATTTTTAAAAAATAAAGGTGTTCCAGAAAAGGTTGGACAACTCCTTGCTGAGGATTTGATAGATTAAACATCAGAGGAGCCTAGATCAGCTGACCCTGGTCCTTCCCACCTAGGATCACAGAATTCTAACAGAAGTGGGGGACCCCAGCACCTCCAACCTTACTGACCACTACAGCCTTCTAGGCCCAGTGTGGTCCCTGGAAGACCAACAACCTCGGCAACACTTGGGAGCTTGGGAGAAATGCAGAAGCTCAGACCCCATCCTAGACCTGCTGAATCAGAATCTGCATTTTAACAACATGCACAATGCCCACTAAAGTGTGAGAATCCCTATTCTGTTCCTCATGGGACACAGGCAACTTACTCCACCTAAAACTATTCCAACTGCATCTCCTTACAAAACCAGGTATCTATTCTCCCCTGCCCAGCTGCAGGAAAAGCTATCCTGTGCCGATCCCAGATCCCTGCAATGAATTCTTCGGGCCCTGAGGGATCCTACTGCCACCTCTCACACCCTACCTTACCCTGCCATCAGGTCCAAAGCATCCTGTCCCCAGCTCTCCCTGCTCTGCCTTCCCTTTCTGAGGCCCAGACATCCCTTCCCGCTTTCTGAAGGTGGCTGCCTCTGCAGGCAGAGGCCACGGCTGAGGAAAAGGCTAAGTTGCCTTGGAGATGAGGGCGGGTCTAAAGACAGGGAAGCCAGGTCACCCCAGGAGGTAGGAGGAGTGGGGGGAGACTCCCCCATCCCTTTGTCCTCCTCCAGCTGCTCCCACAATGCTCTAGGGCAGGAATGTAAGAGGCAGCTGAGACCCCACAGCTCTGAAGTAGCAGCTGAGGGGGATGACTGAGTTCCGGGGGGCACTCAGTTATCAAAGGAGAAACTGAACCAGAAGACATCATGCCTGCTCCCTTGGGGTACAGCACCCGAGTCCCAGGAGACTGGCCAGGAATTCCTGGGTGCCACTCTCCACCCCCACTTCTCTTGAGAACAGTGTGGCCCTTGTTCCCCTGGGTAACCTTCATGCCTATCCCAGATGAGTCATCAGAGCCAGACAGAGTTGAGAGGAGCCTGGGGCAGAGATACAAAGACAGGCAGAGGATAGGAGGCAGGGGGAGACAGAGCGAGAAACACAAAGCAAGAGGTAAATAGAGCAGGCTCAGAAACACAGGCATAGATCCAAGCTGAGAAACAGAGCAGCACAGAGACTTCTAGGCAATCCATTCTCTAACGTCCCCAGTCACCCCATCTCTCTCCACTGGATCTTGACCCCAGAGCCAGACACACAGGGACAGGCCCAGAAGACCTACTCCAATCCCACTCTGCCCCACCCCGCCCCATTACCACCAATTACAAGCCAAGGGCCAGGACACCCTGACTCAGGTTCATTCTTCTCCCACCCCAATCCCCACCTCCCACCCCAGACAACAACACCCACACAGCTCTGTATATACACACAGACGCGCGCGCGCACACACACACGGTCAGATATGGGAACTTACTGAGCCGGCTGTAAACACTGGGGCTAAATGTAGTGTGCACACACACCTCTCAGTGTCTCACAGACAACCCCTCACAGACTTTCAGAGACAAGGCAGACGGACGCTCATGTACACATCAACTTCATCCACACCTTGGCATTCTTAAAAGTCCAGTCCCATCGCGTAGGGAATAGCCATCTTCAGACACCTGTGGACACGAAATGACACACACTACATGCTCCTGTCATCAGAAGACAGTATGAGACACACACTCGGGCCCTCAGGCACAGGATCCCAGGAGAACTGGAGCCCACCCCCTAATACCAAGCCAGAGGGAGGTCAAGGGACTGAGGAGCGGGTAGACGTCTGGTGGAAAGACTGGCAATAAGAACAAGAGCCATTTCTCCATTTTCCCACACTCTACTTTCACCTGTCTCCACTGTACCCTCAATTCTGGACACACCTACATCCCCTCAACAACAGTGAGTCCCAGCGCCAGGCTCTGGCTGAGGGCAGAGATGCTGGAGAGGAATGTGCAGCCGGCAGGGGACCTGTGCAGTGAAGGCCTGGGGGCGTTGGGGGTGGGACCGGATCGGTGATGCTCCCTGGGCAGCGACGTTATCTCATGACAGAACCAACTGACCCTCCAGCGTGGATGAGCGGCCCTCACTGGTAGGGTAGGGTGTCTGTCCCTCTCTCTGCCCGGCTGCGGCCAGGCTGGCCAACTGGGGGTCGGCTGGGTGGAGGCTTAACAGTTAGTAGACGCCCGCAGGGACTGGCCAGGTGGCGGGCAGGCCGGTTCTCCAGGGGGCGGATAAGATGATTCAGCGCGCGACCTAAGAGCACCTGTCCTCCTGGGGCTCCGTCCCTCCACGCTGAGTAAAGGAGGGTCCTTCCTCAGTGCTGGAGCATGTCAGGGGCTCCCTCCGTTTTCAAACAGTAAGCCAGAGCACTGGGGAGGTGGGACGGGACAGACCTAGACGAGCTCGACAACCAAGTGCAGCCCCGGCACAGGGCCGTCCTGCCTCCTCCGCCGATCCTCCCGCTCCCCTGCAGCCCCGGGCCTCCGCCCTCGCCCCCCGCCCGCGGGGAGCTCCCGCC